TTCTTTCTTTCTTTCTTTCTTTCTTTCTTTCTTTCTTTCTTTCTTTCTGTCTTCTTTCTCAGTCACTGTCCTAACAGTTTACTGTGACAGCGCCCCCTACTGTCCTCACAAAAGGAGAAAGCTGTTGCTTTAAGGAAGTTTGAAGAAATCTCTTGGAGTGGGAATTTGAGAGTTAGAAACTTCTGTTGCTGAGGAGTTTCTCTGTATTTCCACCATCGAGATGAAAATAAAAATATAAGCTGCATTTCCAGAGTAGAGTATAAATCCGTCTTCAAAAAAGTATAGTAAAGTGGAAATGAATTTGTTGCTCAAAATCTGTAGACAGGATATTATCCTTACTGATTTAAAGTGTTTTGATGCCCCTACCAAACCTAGATATGTTTCTGTTTGTGGACCCATATATAATAACTCAGGACACTCCGGTTTCTTGGTATAAAACTCCACCTGGTTGGGTTTGAAAATCATCCCTCAAGACTTATGTACTAGATAAGGTATCAGTACAACAAATGTCTATTGCTTGTGTTTCATGGGATAGCAATTATTCTAAGTGAATAATATTCATTTCCATTTGGTGAGTGGTATGATTATAAAGGAGAGTATAAATCCTTTTTCTTTCTTCAAAATATAAAAATCTTTACTGGAAGTCAAGACCAGTTGCCTCTACTATAGTTCCAGGGCAGGTAAGCTTTGAACTGAATGAGAAGGGTCCTCTCCCTGTTTGTCCATTACACCAGTACCAACTAAAAGATATTCCATTTTCCTTACAGAGGCAAAGGACACTCATTTGTCAAGTATTTAAATAAACTGCACATGAACAAGTATATATATATATATATATATATATATATGTGTGTGTGTGTGTGTGTGTGTGTGTGTGTATACATATATATGCTCCTTTTGCTATCTTTGAGGCTATTGGCCCCATCTACCTGCATGTGTCAAGCTTTGCAGGTGCTTGAGTCTCTCTTATAAGTCTCTCTTATAAGATAGTACAATATTCGCACATAACTTAAAGCATCCTCCTCTGCACTTTAAATCATGGGTACATTATTTATAATCCATGATACAATGTAAGTGTTATATAAAGTATTGTCTAGGGAATAATAGCAGAAAAAGTCAGGACACGTTCAGCACACACAGATGCAATTCTTTACTGTATATTTCATACAGTTGCCTGAGCCTCTGAGTGTACAACCTATAGATACACCCATGCTGTGCATCTGTCTGTTTTCTATCTATTTATACACCCACACATACACACAAGCACACATATGCATAAGTGTCTCCTTTAATATTCTATGTCTGTATTTGGCCCATGATAGGAAGCATTCATTATGTTATCTTTAGTGCTAGCATGTCTCACATTTTAATTCCCTTCATTAGCAAGACTGGACAAGAATATCACATTATAGTATACAGAAACAACCAAAACATACTTAGCCTGAAGACTTGGAGTTAGTGTGCTCCTAACTTAATCAAAATTTGAAAAATGTTGACTTTACATGATCATGGATCATGACCTTACTTTTCAAGGCTACTGGAGAGAGATGACTTGAACAGAGGCACTTCTGGTTTCTGGGAGAACTCTGCATTTCGTGGCAGCTGGTAACAGCTGCGGAGCACCTCCAGGAACCATTCCCACCCTCTGGGCCACCATCCCCTTCTTTCACAAAGAGTTTGAAATTTAAGCCAAAGGAGGTGCAGATCCTGGCCACCCATGCAAGGTCATATGGAGTGAAGTCCAGAGTCTGTGTCCTTGAGTAAGCAAAGAACAGGGGCCAAGGAGGACTCTGAGCCCAGGAAGTCCACGTGTGGCGAAAAAAGGGGAGGTATTTCCTCCATGAATATAATTCCCAGAAGCTCTGAGCGACTAGACATGTCCCACCTGCTCTCATTGTCTGGAACTCTGGACTTTTGCCCCATAGATATCACTGGCAACTTAATCAGCTGTGTGTGTGTGTTTGTGTGTGTGTGTGTTGTACATTTATATGCATGTAGAAGTAGAAAAACAATGGAAGGGGAGGGATGGGATTTGTATGAGGAACTTCATTAAATGGTTGGGGAATATCTAACACAAGCTGGGCAGAGCAGAATTGCAATTCCTCTTGCAATATCTCAAGTCTTCACTTCCTTGTTTGTTCCTTCCTTATGATCTGAGGGGTAGAACATGCAGATACACTTTGTGTGTGAATGTGAAGACAATCTCTGGGTGGAAATCCCCCACAGCATTGTGATCTCCTCCTCCCTGCCCCCCTCTTAACAGAAAACATGCTGGCCCAAATATTTGTCTCATATAAATAAACTGGTTGATTGGTCAGGGAAGAATAAGTGCCAAGTCTGTCTTTTAGAGGGGTCATGGGAATAAAGTCAGCCTGTGCAATTAATGACAACAGGGACAAACCTTACATAGACCAGATGTTCACATCATGAAGAGTGTTGGTCACAAAGCAAACAAGCGTCCTTGATATAAACAATCATAAGAAGTGGTCATCTCTCTATGGGACACATTTGAACAAATATAAATTGTAGCCACCATTAGTTCCA